CTCCCCATTGTATGAGTTTATAAAAGAGTTTATACATACAGTTTCCATTATTTTGGGTTGCTGACTGCAGTAAATTACAGGTTTACCTGGGATTTATAATTAGTGAATCTGTTTTTCTTTAGCAAATGATGCTCTTTAGTTTTACTTTAAAGTTGTATCGTCACCAGTTGGTCCAGCTCCTCTCATGTCTGTCTGAATTTAAAGAGACGTCACTGAGGGCTCTGATTGGCTGAATGTTGGGCTTTAATCTCAAAATTGAAGCAAAACAACAAGTCTTATAAACAGTGTGTGAATAAAATCCTGTAATGTCTCCACAGTTGTGACTAATTATTGAATGTTCCCATGATCTCAGGTGTGAAGAGGCCTTCTGTTTAAACAAAGATGTTCTCACTGTATCGTCCTGTGGAGTCCTTTTGAAATGTAATTACTTTTTCTCTCTGGATGTTTTTATTGTTTTTAGATGTGGTACGAGTGAAACGTGGAGATGACGTCACTCTGCCATGTCAGGCTGGTGAAGCCTCCATCAGAGCTGTAGAGTGGTCTAATTTGGTCTAAAGACAAATTGGCCCCAGAAACGGTTCAGACTAAATGCAATTCAAATATACACCGTTGGCCACTGATGGAAAAAGTACTACAATATTCTACTTAAGTAAACGTAAACTTGCTTAAACTGCACTCAGACACAAGAAAAAAGTAGATCAGTTAAAATCTGCTCTCAGTAAATGATGAAGATGTTATATGATAACGTCATGTGATTTGACTCTTAAATCAAAGACCAGCTTTCCAAAATAAAGTGCATTAACTTGTCAGTGTTCACAGTGGAACATTTATTTTCTATAGACGCACTCTGCAGCCTGTTCATCCCACTAATGATCAGTTATAAATATCCAACCAGCTTCCTCTGTAGCCTCGCTGGAATTAACCAGAAAAGAGACAAAACTCTGACGATCAAACAAAAATGTCTGACAGTAAATAAATCCATTTCATCTGTGAAAATTGCATTAAGGAAGCTGGTGATGGTTTTTTTAAAGCTTTGTGGAGTCAGCAAAGATTTATATGTTTGAAGCTAATGATATTAAAAGTATGTAAAATGTATATATTGTAAATATGTAAACTCTGACGAGTCTGGAAAATGTAGCCCTGTAGTCAAAGCACCTATCACAGAGTCGTGAGCAGCGTTTAAAAACCTACCTGACTTCTCTTTGTATCATTATAAAATCAGACTTCATATCAGTTATTTGTTGACTTTGGTATGATGATATGATTGCTGAAACACAAAGGTGATAGTCGCTTACAACTGTCAAGATGTTGGTGAGAAAATTCAGTCAGTCTGCTGGTTTTGGGTGTGTTGTGAATGATTTTGGTGGCATTTGATCCAAACCTGAGGAGAAGAGAAGATGTTGTTCATACTGTACAGCAAGAGACAGCTTCGCTGCTTGGATACCTAATGAAATCTGATAAAAACACGATCATTCACTTTCTGTCAACTAACTCTGTAGCTGAGAGATAAAAATGAAAACTTTTTCCTATAAAGATCACTTTAACTTCACCATCCCCCCACTCCTCAGTCTGAATCAGGAAGTAGTTGCAGTCGCTGCTGGTGGGTGGAAACTGACTAACATGGCTCCAATCAGCAAACAGGTTCTGGTATGAACCAGAGATGAGATTTTGTGAAATTGTCCCATCCCCCACTCGGTTTCAGTCTGACGCTGTGGTTTCCTCTGCAAGCTCTCTCTCAGGGGTGAGTACAAACTGAACAACAAGAAAACAGGCTTCTGCTTTTATTTCAGGTATATCTGAGGACAGAGGTGGACACTAACTAAGTACATTTACTCAAGTACTGTACTGAAGTATAAATTAGAGGTACTTCTACTCCACATCTGAGAGGGAATATTGTACTTTTATTTCACTACATTAATCTGGCAACTTTAGAGTATTAGTAACAGAGTATTTTTACAGTGAGGTATTAGTACGTTTACTTAAGTAAAGGATGTGAATACTTCATCCACCACTGTCTGAAGACGCCACTGAGGTTTATATTAAACACCAAGTTGAGAATTTAGATAAATTTACTGTTTCTGTCAGACTGAACTGAACTCAGCACATCTGCCGACAGATGCACATTAACTAGCTGTGACTGCCTGCTTTGTGTCTTAAACGTGGACACAATGTTGGACGACCTGAGGACGTGTTTGACTCGTGTATATTCTCAGTTCTGAGTGTGTCTGCTGTTTTCTGTTGGTCCTGTTGGAACAAGATAAAATCTTCCTGTTCCTTCAGTCAGAGATTGTCTCCTGAGTCTCCACTCGACTCTCATTTAGGAACTCATGTCTCTCAGAGGAGCCATCTTGATCACATTTCCTCCTCCTGATCAATAACTGCTGGATCAAGATACTCTGATCAAACTGTTTCAGGAAAACTTCTTTTCCTCTGGACTTTGTTGGAGTGAACCGTCTGATTCTAGTGTAGAAACCTCATCATTTATTTAAACCCAGTTTTAACCAGTTTTATTTCACACAACACCTTGTGTGAAATGTCCCCTTCTGCCGGCTGACTGGTTTTCTCTCAGAGTCGTGTTCATATCTTTTTGTGCAGTTTGTGTGAATAGAGTCAGAGTGACATAGAGGAGAAAAAGAGTTGTGTTTGCTGGTTGCAACTACAGAACCAAACAGAGAGGAAGTTCACTAGATGCTGTGAAAACAGACTGCAGAAAGAGGAAGCTGCTCTCAGCCTGAAATTCTGTTGAAGTTTGACATGTGACAATAAAACTGAAAAGACTCTCTTAGTTTGTGAAGTCTTTGTTACAGACGCTGAAGTTGAAGAAAATATCCATGGAACACTTATTAAATACTGATCTCGTTGACCTTCTTGTTTACGTGCAGACGGTTGTTTTAAAATAAAAGACTTTCATCATCTACTGCAGCTCCAACATTTAAAACATGTTGTCCGTCTGCAGCTGTTGGACTGTAGAGACGCACAACATTAAATAGATAACGTACATGCAGAGGTCTGAGGACCAGTAAACCAGCAGCTGGACGTCAGTGGTTGGACTGGTGTGAAGTAGTGATGGCAAGTTCGACTCTTTTGACAGACTCGTTCATTCAAATCTCGTTCAACCACAGAAATATGTTCCACTATGTGAAATCCACTACTCCGGCTAAATCCTTCCATTTTCACAATCTTTCCTGAGTAAACAGCCAGACCAGCCATATAAAGTCTTATGTATATAATTACAATCATTATCTCTGAAGTGCTCATTCATGCAGCAGCCTGACGTCCCTATCCATGAGTAAAATATGATCAGATTTGCAGTAAATAAGCTTGATACACTATATGAATAAACACACTCTTATTAAAATTCAACCAATTTAATAATAATCTGGATCAAGCCACTGAGTTCTTAAAGAACTCCAACAAAAAAATAAACACATGTAAACGCAGCAGTTTGGCAGGTCTGTGCGCAGAATGGGCCACATCAGAGAAACACACATGAGCACATCGCTCTCAAACACTGCAGGTTGTTCACCAGTCAGGAGCTGTGAAACAACAGCTCGGCTCTGTTGGTAAATAAAAAGGAAAAGTTACGTTGCGTTCTCTGGTGGACCTGGATCAGCTGTTAGCTGTTTACAGGGCTAACACTAACGTTGCTACGTGGCTGTGTTTTAATGTTTTAATGACCGGTTTGTTTTGGAGAGGAGACGACCTCTGAGGTAATTCGGCTCCAGGTAGAACCCTGTCAGGGCTCTGAAGTGGACCCACAACAACTCTCATCAGCTGTTAGCTGTAAACACTAGCAGGACTAAAGTTACAGTGCAGCTGTGTTAAAATTATTACTTAGCACAACATCACTGCGCTGTAATAACGTAATGCTTTATAAAATGTCACATAATTAACAAAATAGCTATGAAATGAACGAATCACTCACTGAGACAACCCGTTCCTCCCGAGTCATATACAGGATTAGGTCTTATGAACGAAACCTTCTTTGAACGACACAACACTAGCGTGAAGGTGTGAAGGTCGACCTCAGAGAAGAGTAGACGGCTTCTGGCTCTGCTGGAACTAGTCATCAAATAGAGAGCTTTTCAATGATTACATATATGCCTCTAAATGCGGCTAAATGATTCTTTTTACTCAAATATAACAGGCTCTCATAATCCAACCAAACTAATAAAATACAAGGAGTTTATTAATAAAAAGGATTACAACTTAAGACAACATGATGAAAATATAAATGAATTAATGACAAAATAAAATATTATAAATACCATACAATTATATATAAAGATTATGATAAAAAATACAAACAATTACCAATTAACCATCAAACCAAGACCCCGGCTGACGTGCTGCCCTGATGTTAGCTTGCTGTGTAGCGTTCAAGAATCTCCAGGCTTTGGTTGTGTTGCAGAGTAACACTAAGTTCATTTGTTTGACCGTGCAGGATGAAATGTCCATGTTTCCCAGTTTTCAATGTTAAAACCATGGACTCTAAAACAGTATGTCAAAGGTTTTGCCAACGAGCCCCAGCGGTCAAAAACCCTTTGTCCTTCTGGGCCAGAAACACCTGCTGACAACAGTTTGGATCCTATTTTTATTACGTTACGCCCAGGTGATAGCAGAGCAACACACAAGAAACAACTTCCAATCTCTGTTTTTGTGGATTATGGATTATTTTGTTTCCAGTCTTAATTGAAATATAACTGTTCATCAGTGTAAAAGTGGCAGTTGCTGTTTATTTCAGGACAATTTCATTTTCCTGTTTGATGTGTTGGAAGGTGTTCAGCTGAATAAATGTAAATTTATAATAGTATTTTTTTCTTTTTCTTTCTTATATTTATAAATAAGCTTATATATTTCCAACTCATCTTTGACCAACACTGCAGAACGCTGACGCTAAAGTTAAGTACAGTATTCCTGGGAAGGCTCTGACTCACCTTCATCTGCATAAAGTCATGAAGCAGTGCACACAGTTCAGAACACAGTTCAGTGCAGCACAGACAGTACAGTAACAGCAGCAGACGGACATCACCTCCTCTCCCATGGATAAGTTTGTGTTCCTGTTGGTCCTTGTGTCTCCAGCAGCTTCTGGTAAAGACAGGCTTTTATTGTGAGCAGATTGATGTAGGCAGGAAAGTGAACAGCTAATGTCAGCTTGTTAGCAGCTAGGAGTCAATTGTTTTGCGTGACTCAAATTCTTTGTCTGATTTCACCCCTGCTTTAGACTTTGGAGGCATCTTCCCTCGGTCAGGTAGTTTAATATTTAGAGACTAAAGAGTATCACATATTGTAATTTCTATCAAATAATTATGCAAATGTTTTCAAAGGCATTCATTTACATAGTTCTTACATCTCTCTAACCATTTTCTTAGCAGAGTTTGTTTGGGACAGTTGATTGACTTTCCTAAATCATGTTCCACTCAAACAGAGTGTTATAATCAGTTATAAAATAATGTCATCTTGTTCTAGAAAATGTTTATGTGTTTTGTGATGAATAACTTAATGTGGATTTTAGCAGATCAAATAGTCCTGATTGAGATTGATGGTGATAAATGGTGATTAACAGTCAAAAGATAATATCACCTTGTTTGCAGCAGCGAGTTACTGTAATTTCTGTGGGATTTTAATGTAACCACGTGAGAAAATTATCTGATCACTTTAATCTCACTAATGCGTCCGGCTCTTGATTTGTTTTCGTCTCTGCTTGTTGAATGGTCGGTCGAACTGAATGTTTCCTAAGTGAGTGAAATGTCATGAAGTAGCATATTTAAGTGGCAGCTAAGAAAATGTACTTAATTTCTTTCTTATTTTCCTTTTCTTTATTGAATCTTAAGTGCATAAAATTAAGAGGTTCAAAATACAATCTTTTACATTCAGTGGCTTGTCATAAAATTATATAAGTTTACCTGACTTTTGTAAACCTTACTTTTTTATCAAGCATTGAGTTTGTTACTGTACTTATCTTCCTAATGTTTTTTTAAAGCCTAGAATAAGTGCAGTCGGATTCTCTGAGCAACACTGTCATCTTTTCCAAAGTCCTTATGAGTTCAGCTGCACATCTTTCCTTGACTGTGTGAGGTTTTTCATGTAGGTCAAGAAAAAGTGGTTAGGAAAGGACATTTGTTTGACTTTTCAACCGCAGCAAGGACTTTATTTATTTTCTGTGGCAGCAAACACAACATACAGCCGTTCATTAACTGTTATGCTGCAACCTGAGCTCATCTCTCCAAAGTGAATCAGCAAGTATTTTGGATTTAATGAAGTTAAACATGAGGTCATGAAGTGAAATCAAAGAACTGACTCTTTCTATATGACAGGAAGTGAAAAAGTGCTGATTACAGTGAAGGACTACATGGGATTTATAATTAGTGAATCTCTGTGTAAAGAAGATGTACTTTAATGTTATCACAAATTGAAAAACTGTTGCGACTCATGTCTAAATTTAAAGAGATGTCATGAAGGGCTCTGATTGGCTGCGTGAATGTTGAAGCTATAGCTCACGACAGGCCATGTTGTAAACTTATTAGTTAAGGGGCGTTGATGTCCTGATGTAGCGATAACCTAAAAAACATCTGCCCAACTGTTGAAGCAGCTTCATGTTTTACAACAAGTCTTATAAACAGTGTGTGAATAAAATCCTGTAACGTCTCCACAGCTGTGACTAATTATTGAATGTTCCCATGATCTCAGGTGTGAAGAGGCCTTCTGTTTAAACAAAGATGTTCTCACTGTATCGTCCTGTGGTGTCCTTTTGAAATGTAATTACTTTTCTCTCTGGATGTTTTTATTGTTTTTAGATGTGATACGAGTGAAACCTGGAGATAATGTCACTCTGTCATGTCAGGCTGGTGAAGCCTCCATCAGAGCTGTAGAGTGGAGCAGACCTGACCTGGAGCCAGACTACGTCGTCTTTCACAGAGATGGACTCTCAGATCCAACCCACCAGCATCCATCCTTTAAGGACCGGGTGCAGCTGGTGGACAGAGAGCTGAAGGACGGAGACGTGTCTTTAATTCTGAAGAATGTGAGCAGCAACGACGCTGGAACATACGAGTGTCGAGTTGCAACAGGAGGTTCAAGACGTAAGAGAGCCATTATTGAGACTGAGCCAATCAGAATCATCCAGCTGGAGGTTTCAGGTGAGTTTGTGGAGGTCAGTGTGTCTGTGTGCCATGTTGTAGCTGCAGTTTATTCCATGTTGATTCTGAGAGTCAAACATGAGGAATATAGAAGATATAGAAGAGTAAATGGAGGCTGTTCCACTGTTCACTCATTTCCTGACTAATATGCACTTTGATCTTCAGGGTCCAACAGCGGAGACGTCGAGGAGGGAAACCAAATCAACAAAAACCCCACAGAAGGAAACTACAGGATTTACTACGGATCTGTAGCAGGTTTTGTTCTGGTTTGTTTAGTTATCGTCATCATTGTCGTCTGGAAATATAGAAGACCCAGGGAGAGCCTGGTTATTTGAGGCAGTGTGGAAGTTGAGGGGTCTGACGGGTCAGACTGACTGCAATTCAAACACACACCTTTAGCCAGGGATGGATAAGTACTACAATATTCTACTTAACTAAAGGTAAATACCAGCTTCAGGCTCCAAAATAAAGTGCATTAACATGTCAGTGTTCACAGTGGAACATTTATTTTCTATAGACGCACTCTGCAGCCTGTTCATCCCACTAATGATCAGTTATAAATATCCAACCAGCTTCCTCTGTAGCTTCGCTGGAATTAACCAGAAAAGAGACAAAACTCTGACGATCAAACAAAAATGTCTGACAGTAAATAAAAGAGCTGTGGACACTGCAGCAGGTGCAACACGCTTCATTAAGCTACATTTAATAAGCTGCAACTTAAACAGCAGAATAAAGCATCAATAAGGCAGCACAGAGATCTAGAGACAATATAAACTCCACAGCAGCTGCTGCAGATACAAATACTGAGGTACAAGTAAAATATCAGATATTTTAAAAACAATCAGACTATAAAAGTACTTTGTTACAGTAAGGAGAGTAAATGTAGCTGGTTGCTTGCAGCCTCAGCACTGATGTATCACAGGGAGCTTCATGAACAGATTAATGCTAATGCTGCTAATGTGGTGACTTTCTCTGTGTTGCAGCATGTATTGAAACATGTTGATGTTATATTATACCAACAGATTATGCCAAAAGTGAGGGTCAGAAAGACAGAGGTCTCATTCAGCCAGATGTTTTCATGCACATTTTGGAATTACGTATAAAACGGCTGGATAGAAACATGACTATTTTTGCATTATTTTGAGAATTTATTTATGTTGTGAATATTCATTTTCATATTGTTGAAGAAATGTTTTATAATGGATTGACATTGACAATAAAAAACATTTTGAACAAGTATACAGTTGGGTTACTTGACACTTGAAGAAACTGTAAATAGATAATAAATAAAATGTAAATGTGATTTATACATTTTTTGCAAAGATAAAGGACAAAATACATTTGCAGTTACACATTTACAAGGTCATAGTCGTTTAGACGTATATTTAATAAGAACAAGGGAAACACAAAAAAATCTAGTTGTGTTACTCATTGATGAAGTGCCTCATAATGGTCCTAGAACATTAATTTTCCATCCCTGACACATTTTGAAACAGTCATAAAACCTATTTACAGGTAGACACACATTGTGTGATGGTGATGATGATTATTATGATTCTCCCAAACCAGGGGATTGCCACAGTGACACAGTGTCATTATTAGTTTCAGAAAGCTGTCACAAGGTTTTGAAAACAATAAGGTTCCAAAATGGGTTTTAATTTGGGTCACAAATCCAGGAGTTTCCAATGACCACAGTACTAAATTCTTTTGGTTCTAGCAGGCTAGTGCCATTCACAGATTATACATTTTAGTGTTTTGATTTTGAATTGCTAGGCAGACACAGTTTTACTAATTCAATGACTTGAAGCAGGATTCTGTCCAGCTCTTCTTTTGTTTCAGACTAAAGCTAAATATTTCTATCTTTCTATTATATATATAACACACACACACACACATATATATATTTATATATGTATATATATACATAATGTACAAAAGTGGAGGAAGAGTGTTTCAACTGCTGTTGAACTCAGAGCTGATAAGGAGTCTTTCACTTTAAAAAGGAAACAGGATGTTTCTACAGAAAAACCACATTAATTTCACATGTGTAAAATCACATGTGGAACACATGTTCTTTGCACATGTGTAAGGTAATTTACACATGGGAAACATGTGGTTTTGGAACATTGACATGGTGTAATGTGTGAACCCCATGTATATTCCCATGTGAATCCCATATGGTTACATGTGAAACCCATGGGATTACATGTGAAACCCATGGGATTACATGTGAAACTTGTGTAAACCATAGAAAGACCCATGTGAAACCATGGGATTACATGTGAAATTTGTGTAAATTCTGATGTTAAAACCATAGAAATACCCATGTGAAACCCATGGGATTACATGTGAAATCCATGTAAACTCTCATGTGAAAACAACAGAAACCCAGGTGAAACCTATGGGATACATGTGAAGCCTTGTGAATCCCACGTGAAACCTATGGGATTACATGTGAAACATATGTAAACCTAGAAC